CTGGGCATTCCCCCGGAGGAGCTGGAGGAAGTGTCTGGAGAGAGGGAGGTCCGGGCATCTTTGCTTAGACTGCTGCCCCCGCGACCCGGCCCCGGATAAGCGGAAGAAAATGGATGGATGGATACTGTTCAAGAAAGTTTATACCTGAAGTTCCATTTTCAACTCAGATTTAAAGTAAAGTTCTCAAAGGCTTCATCAGTGTGTCAATGTTAAATGTTATAGTAAAGGCATGTTGTCCATTTTTCTACTTGATAACATCAGTAAAAAGAACAGTAATCCTTTTCATTTTACAGAATTTAGGGAAATCTGAGGGTTATGTTTCCTACATACTGTATAAGTGCTTAGTGCTTCTCCTCATCTCACTGTCAAATTATTTCCTATCTATTTCCTGTCTCTCAGGCCTTCAAGGAGGAGTTGGAGAGTTTGATCCAGGAGCAGCAGCGAAAGGGAAACAATCCCACTGGCCTGTTGGCCCTCAGACAGATCGCTGACTTCTTCATGGCTAGCTCAGTGGCTGGTTTCAACACCTCCCCTCTCAGTGAGTACTCACAGCGCTGCAGCCCGTTACCCAAGGACTACAGACACTAGCGTTTACCAGAACATGCCTCCGATGCCCAGGGTGCAACCACTTTGACTCGCACTGAAAAACAAAGCACAGCATCTGTGTGCTTAAGGGCTTAAATCTCTGGAAGAGCTGTGCATATTTCTCTTAAGCTTTCAGATTGTGATTTCTGTCCAGGAGTCCATATGTGAAGTCTGTTTCATGGTTAATATCCCAGACAGCCTCTGTACTCTCGTTTAGCCACTTGTTAGCAACCGCCCTTTTTAAGACATGTAAAAGCTCATGTTTACTCATGTATTTTACTTCATAGAATAAAATGTGAAAATGTTTTGGACTTGTGTTAACCACAGACCTTATTCCAGACATCCAATCAAAAACCCATAGAGTTCAAAGTGAGGGAATCATTAGTGTAAAAATGCTAACTCAGTTGCAGAGATGGAGCCAGGTGTGACAGGAACATTATTAGATAGGAATACAGATGCTGGATAATGGTCCTGTGTGGCTGTCACTGCCGTTGTCAAGATAGAAGGATAGAAGTATCCTCATCATGACTGTGTTTATGCATGATAGAAGCTAATTTGTAGACAAGGAGATGATAATCACACATTTTTGAAGAGTGTATTCTATTTTTCCCTTTGATTGCTGCTTGTGACTTTTAGGTCTGGGGATGGTCACTCCCATCAACGACATGTACGGAGTGGACTCCACCTCGATGGTGAAAGGCGAGAAGCTGACGCGCTGTAAACTGGCCAGCCTCTACAGACTTGTGGACCTGTTCAGCTGGGCACACTTTGGCAACTCTTATATCACAGTAAGGCACCGCAGAAAGATCACCACTGGATTTAGAGCTGAACCAGGAGTTCTTAAAAGTGTTGACAGTTGTGCTCTATGAATAGACAGAGCATGCTCTGATTAATTTAGCCATCCACCATTGTTGTTATAGTTGTTGTGTTTCTTCTTTCTCTTCTGGATTAAGTTCAGGAAACCAATGAAATGACAGCTACCGCCATCATCTGCTTGTTCATTGATATGAAAGCAGTTTTTACAAAGCTTTGTTCTCCTGGTATTTTTCAGTTTGTTTAATTCCATAACAGAAAATTAATTGGACTCCTTTTTTTTTTTCTTAGAGCCGAGTCAGTAAAGAGCAAGACCACATCCTCATCATCCCCAGAGGGCTGTCATTCGCTGAGGCATCTGCATCAAACCTAGTAAGAAAAATGAGTAGCTGTAGAAATACCTAAAACAAAAAAGGAGAGGTAACTTCTCTTAACTGGATGGAAACCTTTCCTTTCATTTAAAATTTAAGTTAGATTGTAACAAGTCAAATATTAAAGGTTTGGAGATAAATTATTTTTTTTGTGCTGTGTAGCTTTGTAGCAAAGGCTATTTTGAAATAGAATTGAAGTCTTAGCTTTAACTTCAGTGATCACTTGGTTAGGCTGAAACAAATAACAGGTTGTAAATGTCTGTCAGTGTTGCTGTGTGTGTGTATGTGTGTTTGCCAGCAGCACTCAGTGGACAGGGTTAATGCTTTTCCACTTAGCTTAACCAGTCATTTATGTCCTTGAGTTGTATGAAGGGCAAAATAGGGGATAAACAGTATTTCAGTGTTTTGTTCTTCATAGGCACAAAGGACAACACCCCCCACTATCTCTGAGTGTTTGTCATGTTTAGTGTCATTGGCTCTTCTCCTTGTGACACTAATCAGACCAGACAGTACATTCTCTCATCCTGCTGCTTTCCTGTGGTAAATCAGTAAATATTGCCTGTGGTTCAGGTTGTTTGTCTTTAGTTTCAGTTCAAAAAGCGCACGTTGATGAAAAATTAATGTATTTTCTATTAATTACTGTTAAATGGAAAATCTAAATGAAAATAATTATGAAAACTGGTCTCAGAAGTAACTGTGATTTTTTTATTATTTTGTACTGTAGTTCTATATAAAAACCAAACAAACCCCCCCATGAAGAAAGAGCACCCTGAGCCATGTAATGTTTCTCCAGTAGAAGCATGTCTTTACTGCCAGACAAAAGAGTATTTTATCAGATTTGATATCCTGCAGAATTAAGCTGAACAGGTGTATGTTATTAGCGTCAGACTACATGATGGATACCTTTTCCTCTGAGCTGCTGGTGTGTGGTTTGTATCACAGGACAACATGCAGCTACATTGATTTTGTAAAACAGCTGGAGGCAGAGCTATGTTTTCACGTTCAATTAGGTTTTACCTCGAGGGCTGACATCTTCACGGTTTATGCCACAGTCTCTCTTTTCACTTATTTGTTTTTATTCTCTTCTTCACTGCTTATCCAACTCTCTTCCCTCCAGATCTCTACTATCATCTCTCCCTCAACAGCTCTTCTCTCTTGTCATGTAATATAATAACTACTACCTGGTAATGAAGTTCTTAAAGTAAAAGGACATCATGTCCACTCCCCAACTCTATAATGTTTCTTGGTAATGCTCCAGTTCATTTCTTGGAGAGTAGGAGTTGCTGTAATGTGATTTCTGTCATCATGCTCATTGATTTTGACTTGTGTTTATGTCTTCTTAGTCAGAGGTTTATCTCTCCTCCTCTCCTCTTAGAAGAGCCGTCTAGATAATGGTGCCGGCAACTTTTCAGTAAGCGCGTACAGCCTGTGTTTTTCATCCAGTTTAGAAAAACAAAAAGGGCTGGGGTAAAAACACTTAGAGCTTTACACTCCCCAGTTTCACATCCAAAGCAGAAGTCCTGGAGACTTCCGCAGACTCTCATTGCTCTTCTCGCCTCCACAGGTGAAGGTCAACATCATCGGAGATGTTATTGAACAAGGCTCCACCAACCTGAGGATCGACCCTGTAGGGTTCAGCCCTCACGCTGCCATCTACTCCATGCGTCCAGACATCCGCTGTGTCATACACGTGCACACTCCTGCCACGGCTGCTGTGAGTTCACTTTACATCAACCAGATTTCAAACCCGCAGATGATGAAATACCTGTAATATGTCTGTCAGTTATCTCTCATTTGTCTTTGCTGCCTTCTTCCCACCTTTCTCTTGCCTTAGGTGTCATCTATGAAGTGTGGTATCCTGCCCATTTCCCAGGAGGCACTGATCCTAGGTGATATCGCCTACTACAACTACCAGGGCAGCCTGGATGAGCAGGAGGAGCGCAGAGAGCTGCAGAAAGCCTTGGGGCCTACTGCGAAGGTAGAAGAATCGAGACAAAACACGGAGCAGGGTCTTCCTGCTGGGCCGTTCTCATCAGTCTTAAAGATATACTTCGACATTTTGGGCAATACATTTTTTCAATCTTTTGCCGAGTGTTGAAAATTAAGGAAAAGTTTGTTACACCTACTGCCAGCAGCCGCTGCGCTAGACTGGGAACACTTCTATCTAAAGGCAGTAAAATCTGTATAGCAGCAGCTTGGAAACTCACTAACACATCATATGACAGTATCTAGACAGTCAAACCAGCGCATCCTGGTGAAATTTCTATCGTGCACAGGTTGCCTTCTGTACCTTCTCATTCTTGTCCCTGAGTGTGCTTCACCACCTGAGTGAGTGTTGATACAAGGAACCAGAAATGCTTTGGGGGTTGCTTATTATTTAAGGGCCTATAATATAATTATACAGTCAAAATAAAAGCAAAAGCTTATGCCTCTGATTTGGCTGTTGTGCTGTTTCAAATCATTATTTCTGTGTGTGTTTTCCAGGTTTTGGTGCTGAGGAATCATGGCGTGGTTGCTCTCGGGGAGACCATTGAAGAAGCATTTCACTACATCTACTGTGCCCATTACGCCTGTGAAATCCAGGTAGGCCTACACACACACACACACACACACACACACACACACATACACACTAGCTAACTGGTGCTGTTTTGGCCACCCAACACATTTCAGCACCACTCAGTTTCCCCTGGACATGTATTAGACGAGCAAGGTGGCAGTTTTCCATGTAGAGCTAATCCCTCTGCTACTGCTTTTACATATCCCTACTCTGACTTCATAAGTCATATGGGTCTCTTGGCTTGTGGAACTGTTGGCTACATACATCAGAAGTGTGATGGGAGTAAAGAGCTGATGTGTTGCTGCTGATGTTGGACCAAAGCAACAAATACAAACTTGACTAAACTGTTGTAAAAAAAATGGACAGTTCAGACATTTGAAAAATTATATTTACATTATCATATGAATCATATATTTAAATAGCATCCAGTTTGAAGTCAGTTCAACATACAGTATTGGGTACATAAGGTGAGATACTGATGAAGGGACTGCTGTGTTTGTATCAGCAGATGTACAGTTATTATACTTTTAAACATGATACATGTAGTCACTGGTGCTGTACGGCAGCAGAGCTACAATAGATGTCATGATGTGTAAACTCATAAAGTTTGTGTTGTTATGGGTGAGATTTCTCTGATTCTTCACCCTTCCCTTTGTGTTCACTTAGAGATGATGGATTTTAGAAATGAGGCTGTGTCCCTCGCTGTAACAGGCATACCAATTCTCCTGATACTCCCCCTGGTCAAGTAAAAGAAAACATTAATCCTTCCTGCAAAGGCCAGCTTAATTTTTATAAATAAATCCCCCGACCATGTTTGTTGTGTGCCATGTACTGTATGTTCCTTGGTGCTGTGGTAACTTTAGATTGAGGGGTAACCTACAAATCACATTTTTTTGTGTGCGCTAATTGTCAGGAAGTTTGTTCATATGTTTTCTCATATTGGGTGAATCATCCAGCGTGCCAGATGTTTGGTGATAAAAAGGCCTCTCTGTCTGTTTTGAGCTACAGCAGTCACCAGTAGAAGCTCACTTGCTGTGGTCTCTTACCATGTGGACAGGTGAACGCCATTTCATGTGCTGGCAGCGTGGACAACCTGATCATTCTGGACCCAGAAAAGTACAAATCCAGAGTGTTTGACGTCGCCACACCGGCTACTATCAACATGGCTGGCCAGTTTAAGTGGAAGACTGGGGAGTTGGAGTTTGAGTCTCTGATGAGGATGCTGGATAATCTGGTGAGTGCACGCAACTCTAAACTGAGAAGATCAGGTTCACTTCACTTCTGTGTGAACAGGGTTAGACAGGAGCGCCACCTACAGAAACCTGAACTGTGTTAATAGAAAATCCATGTAAAATACTGGTAGCTGTTAAAGTTGTTATGTAGGACACAGTGTACAAAAATAATAATTTAGCATTTTTGCATCATTGTGAAAACAGTTGGACAAGCCTCTTTAGGTTGATTTAGTAAACGTACACGTGTCCCTTCACTTTCTTTCTGTCTGAGCTTCTCTTATTTTCTGTCTCCCTCTCTCACATCCCACACGTTTCATCTTTCTCCATTTCCCTCCCTTCCATCTCTCCTGCTCAATGAATCATTGCCTCCCCGCCTGTCAAGACTCCCCTGCTTTCCTGTCATCCCTCTTTACTCTCATACTTCATAAACACAGCTTTTGTATCAGATAAGTTCTGTGTTTCAATTCAAGACCCAGGCAGAGTGATAAAAACAAGAGCAAAGAATGAAAGGTAGTTCCACTCTCAGTCTCCTTTAACGAACAACATAGAAATGCAAGTATCTCAGTGTAAAGCAGGATGTTGCAGGAAGAAGAGCCTGCCAGCTTAGCTCACTGTTTCTGGAGAGAAAGGGCGATGATGTTGAACAGTCAACTTTGACCATGGGCCTGAGATGAAAAGGAAAAATGGAAAAGAAAGGAACGTCACTGTCAAGCTGTAAAAAAGCCTCATAAACAGTCAAACCATGTGAGAGGACAGCGACAGAGAGAGGGGGGAGAGGAAAGGAAAGATGAGGATAAAGAGGAGAGGGGGTCAGACAGGAAATGACTTTTTGACTCGGCCCTCTGTGCTGCCAGAAACCCTGCAGACACAGCACTGTTTCTATATTTTCCATTTGACTGACTCTGGCAGCCCAAACAGCTTTACAGGAAGGAAAAGCGATAGAATAAACACTCGTTTGTTCTTTTAGCTCAGCCTCTCTTGGTATAAAAATGAAAACCTGCATTAAAACTTTGTGAGCTATAATGAGCTCTTATCTAAGAACATTTACTGATCCTCATGGAGTAAATAGGATACTGTTGGAACAGAAGACAAACTAGGAAAGACATAACCACAAAACAGGCAAGTACAAATGTATGAATTAGCTTCCTGTGGGACAGAGTGGCTTTGTTTCCTTGGCGTTGTGACCCTAAACAAAGCGAACCATGTCAGATCAAAGAAAACAGACTGTAGGTGTGTGATCTTGCATCCTGCTGCAGGGCTACAGGACAGGTCACACCTACAGGCACCCCATCGTCCGGGAGAAGCCGAGGCACAAGAGCGATGTGGAGATCCCCGCCACCGTCTCCGCATTTATGTTTGAGGAGGACGGGGATGACGGTGCCACACGGCTGCCATTCAAGTTCCTGCAGCCGCGACAGCAGAGGGACAAGACACGCTGGCTCAACTCGCCCAACAGCTACACCAAGGTCAGCGTGGACGGCGGAGAGGAGCGCTACAACATCCGGACAACCACGGTGAGCAGTGGGTAGCAGACAAGACGAGTCAACATTCCAATTATTACACCTCTCTAAAACCATGAAGCTCCACTTTACATCTTTGAAGAGTTATTTGGGGAGAGGGGGGGGTCCTTCTGGGGGTTATTTACAAACTGCATGTGTTTACATTTAAATCTGTATTTATATACTGGTATAAGAGAATACTTCATGCTCTGACTTGTCCTTCAGTTCATTCTCAGTCATTCCTGTGTTGTGTGAGTTTGGCCTTGTGTCCTAGTGTTTTAAACTTGATATTATATCGCCACCTACTGGCGAAACACATTGATTACAAGGCTCTGGTGATCAGGTGTTACTCTTCCACAAAGCTGGGTCTCTGGAATATTCCAGCTTTTAATCCCTATTAACGGTGGTTCATACAATTCCCATAAAGCAACTCTGCAGCATCTTTCAACTCCCACTGTTTACAACCCAATGTATTTAATACAAAATGTAGACTAGATAGATGGAAAAACAGATAATTTACTATAGTATCCATCAGTACAAAGTGAAGCATCTTGTTTTATTTTATGATCAGTGGTAATTAAATGATTCAAATGATGTCTCATCTGACTGTGCCTGGTTTTTGATTGCTGTTTGTATGGGCAGATAGTTTTGATCTCACTGTCCTTTGTTCTACAGTGGATGAAGGCGGAGGAGACGGGAACCCCAATCCGGATCGAGGACCCCAACCAGTTTGTCCCTCTCAACACAGACCCCAGTGAGGTGCTGGAGAAGAGGAACAAAGTGAGTCTACAGTAACTAGTTCCTCTCGCTCAGCATGAGTGACTGTTATGTGTGAAGACGTCAGCATCATGTGGCAGTGTTGTGCAGAGGGACAATACATAATGATAAGTGTGACAGTGTAAAGATGTGAGCCAGGAAGTGATTTATTTTTACAATTCAGCCTTTAACAAGTGAGATCTGAATTGTTATTAGCTTAGGTTAAAACAACTTCCTTGTGACACATCACTGTGGCTTTTGTCCTGTTACAGATCAGAGAGCAGAACCGGTTTGATATGATATCATCCGGGCCACGTTCCCAGCATCTTGCAGGCATCCCTGTTGATGAACCACGACGGGTGAGAATGAGCTAGGCTCAGCCACTTACATAAAGAAATAACAAAAACACAGGCATGATTGCAGATTTTTATTAAGAAATACTGGAGCTGAGTAAGAAATTAGAAACTGAAAGGAAACTGTTTTGTTTCCTGTTGTACGAGGCACCAGTTCAAGAATAAGTACACTAAAGAAGAAGAATATCTTTATTGTCATTGTATCCAGTACAACGAAATTAAAAAGCCATCTAGTCGGTGTGGCAATCACACACTAATATACACACACAATAATAAAATAATAAATAATAAAAAACAAACACACCACCATACCTTCTCACACTCATCAATTGCACAAACCTTGTTGCGCTAAAAACTATAAATGAGTATTCCCTGAGTGGGAATATCTCACATCAGGTTAGTTTAGCTGAATTGGGTCTAGTTATCGCTGACGGGTAGAAGCTGGTTTTGAATCTACTTGTCCTCGTCTTAATTGATAACTGTGTAGTTCTTCCAATGTAGGGAGAGGGCAGCTGACAATCTTCTGGGCCGTGTTAATGACTCTCTGGAGCGAGTTCCTCTGAACCCCTGGACAGCTGGTGTACCACACACACATGCAGCACGTTAATATGCTCTCTATTGAGCACCGATAAAAGGACACCAGCAGTCTCTGACTGATGTTATCCTTTCTGAGCACTCTCAGAAAGTGCAGTCTCTGCTGGGCCTTGTTCAGCAGCTCAGAGATATTGACACTCCAGGTCAAATCCTCCTCAATGTGGACTCCCAGAAAAACAGGGTTCTCTAGTGATGAAGACAATTCAGAATAGGTTTTAGGAGTGTAATAACAGAAAGAATTCACATTCACTCCTATGATAAACATCAGCAGCTTCTGTTCAGTAGGTTTATTTGTGGTGAGAAACATTTACTTCATATTTAGATTTCAGGATTTTGGCAGTTCCTTCAAATAAAAAGTCTAATATACATCTGTTTATGGACACGAACTGGTCGAGCCACTCGGTTACTCTAGTGCACTGAAACAAGAGCAGAGAAATACAGGTTTCCCTGCTTAGTTGTTTACTAACAAATAACTCAATGGTGTTTTCAGTGATCCTGGCTGGTTACACCCCTCCTCAGATTGCAGTTTGGTAGAGCTGTGCTGGATATCACCTGAGGTGACTGTGCTTTGCTGCACCAGGCATTGAGTTCAGAGAGCTGAGAAGATGTCATTCAAATGGTGGCTGTGAGCGCCCACACAGTCATGAGATGAGACGTCATCGGTCAGACAAGTGAAAAAACCTGTGACGATGCTCCGTCCTTGTATTCAGCAGAGTGTGTGACCGGTTTAATGACAACCCTTAGTCACTAGGTGGAGGCAAACGGGCACATTTTGCAAAGGCAGAACAGACTAGTATGTTGATAATGGCACTTTGGAAGAAAGCAAATAATGAAAAAAGAAGTAGCCAACACGTAGGAAATATCAAAGTTTAAGAAAGTCTAATTTAGACGTTTTGATGCTGATGGTTTTGTGATCAGACGAACCTTCTGGTAATTATCCAAAACTGCTTTCGGTTTTCCATTTATTTATTGATTCTTGTTTTTTATGAATTTATTTGACACCTTTTTCCTTGTTTCAAAAAGAAAACACAAACTGTGTTTGTTACAGTTGTGTTTTATGGTTGATACAGAAATAATTTATGTCATTCCTTTTTTTGCTCTTCTTTGTTGTTCTCGTGTGTGAATCGCTGAAGTGTGACAGGCCTCAGGGCATATTGTTACACACAAATACAAGCAGACGTGTTACACATGGCCTTTTTCCCCCTTGCATGTGTGTGACACGTTTTGTGGGTACAGTACGACGGCACTCGTACATAAATGTAGTCCGTGTGCCATGCATTTGCTGTGTTTGTGTTCTCCAGTCTGTCCTGAAGATGTTTGCAAGTGGATCAGAAATCCGGTGTGAAGTTCTGTGTGTTGCGGTCAACACTTTAGTATGAGAAGTCTTAATTACTTAGTAGAGAATGATTGTCCAACTCTGACAAAGTGAGTGTGTAAGCCAAGGTATACAGTGTTTTTGTGTGTGTGTTTAAGTCAGGGTGTGAGTGTGTAAAGAGGGAGAGTGTCGACTGTTTATTTTTCCTTGAATTTATGCACTGGTGCATACATCTTTTTTGTATCTATGTGTGTCTACTTTGCTGCTATGCACATGTGCGTGTGTGTGTGTGTGTGTGTGTGTGTGTGCTCACCCCTCTCTCTGTGTCTTCCCCAGCCATACGTGCCCACAGAGGAGGAGCAGATGGCTCCCCTGCCCCCCAACCCCTTCAGTGAGCTGTCAGAGAAGGACCTGGAGGAGTACCGCAAGAACGTGGAGAGGGGGCATCTGAGCCTCAGTGGTACGACACACACTGTAAACTCATACACACTAGTCCATGAATTAATAAATGTTCATAGGTGTGTGGACTAAACTTGCAAATGTTCAACTTACCAACACCATAAGAGCCAAGTCACACAGAGAGACATATGGACCGTGCACACAACAGCCAAAGGTTTGTCCCTTTATGTCTGCAGCAAACAATTAAATCTGAAGGTTCATTTAACAACAAAATATTTATCAGGTTTAAAACAAGTCTGATCAGTAATCATTCTATAAGTCACAGTTTGCTCGCAGAGATTAGTTTGGGCCATCAAGAGGAACCGTGTCACCGGGTCTGAGGAAGCAGCAGGCGTTTGCTGTCTTCCAAGACGAGTGCTGTCAGTTTTTGCAATGTGTATTGGAGCACAACTGATATATCAGCAGTTATCAGCCGACATGATGTGGGTGTGTTTATTGGCAGAAAGCAACTGCAGTGGAGCAATAGTTCATGAATTGTTTTTTATTCTTACTATACATTGAAAATATTGTTGATCTGAGGGATCTTTGTGCATCAGACTTTTATCATTAGATATCAATATAGGATTTGACCAAGATTCTATGCAAAGAAAAGCAGGAAATGTCACTTCTTGGCCCTCTACCTTTTGTCAATCTGCTTCCTAAAGTGCTCCATAAGACTTTCAAACGTAGAAAAGACACATCCTGAACAGTCGTTAACAAGCTCCACCTGACATTTTGAACTCTTCAGAATTGACTTCAGCTGAGCTTCAAATAAATCAAATCAATTCAAATAAGGATTTAAAACTTGTTCTGCGTTTACAAATCTGTGCCTTCTCCTCAAAACATAACGTGCATATTGATTACTGTACATCTTGAGTTTGTTCTGTGCTGCTCATCTCTCTCAGCAGTTTTGCTGTTACAAAAGCGCCCATACAACAGGTCTGTAGCACTGTCTCCTTAGCAGCAGTCCCAGTAGGCTTTCCCATATTCTAACACACTGCCTAGAATCACACACACACACACACACACACACCTACTGTATATACCTTTTGACATGAAGGGTTTTCCCCACAGACTCCACTGATGCCTTCATTTGTGTTGACCTTTTGTCTGCTCACACACAGGATAGTCAGCGGTAATCATATCAGCCCTGTGTCCCACTGCCTTTCACAGAGACAGGGGAGAAATCAATAGTTGTGCACTAGTCCTCATTCTGCAGATCACTGTATATGTGCATGTACATGAGCATGCTCTTGTTCGTGCATATTTATGGAACGGTCCAAATGCTCTTGTGTGTGTATGAAATGAGTGACTAAGATGGCAGAGTGAACAGACAGCAGGTCTTCACACCTGCCACATGAGTGGAGCCCGTTGCTATGACACTGTTGCCCCCACAGCCCCGTGAGTCCCCGGTGACCAATCTGGATACAAGCTGGAGACCGTCTGGAATGGCCTGATACATGCCTGGGCTCCACATGCACTCACACACACTGATGCAGTTCAAACCTGTGATCAGTAGAATCAGTCCACTTTTATATGATGATGGTGTAAAGAAAGATGTGATTATCTCAAATTTTAAATCTCAAATCTGATGTAATTTGAGACAGAAGTGCTAACATGCATGCAGCTGAGCATCACCTACATTAGGTGCATATTTATTTGAGTTATTTTTAACCTGACAAGACTCGTGCAGAATCCACTACACTTAAAAAGTGCTGAGTTTAAACTGCATTCATTTTTTAGAGCTCAGCTTTTTGTTTTATCTGCACAGCACACATACAGAATATACTGTACTTTTACTGCAGTCACCTTGTATACATTGTGCAGGAAGGAGCTGTGAATGGCTGTGACACATCAGCAAACTGAATGCACTAATGAACGTGTTAAAGAGATATGTTAATGTAATTCATTCACACGAGTCTATGTTAAAAAATAATATAGCTACTAATTCTGAACTGTGCTGTTGCAAAAGCTTCTATAAACAGTTTTTGTCATGGAATAGATGCACCTAGCCAAGTGCTCAGTCAGTTTTTCCCCCCTGCATTACTAGTTAGATTTTAGATGTACAGTAAAATCATAAGACTTAATTGAGCCCTGGCGGGAAATTCACAAAGTACTCAGCATTATGTAAAGTACTTCAAATTATAAGAAAGGAAGTTAACATTAGCTCTACCTTTAACAGCCGCATAAATGTGATGTTCACAATAATGCATTTGTAATTATACTCTAATAATAGGATATACATTAATATGAAATGTGCCGTTCTGCATAATGAGTACTTTTGGTACTTAAAGTTTTTTTGATGCTAATATGTTTATACTTTACTTAAGTAACATTTTGAGTGCAGGACTGTAGTAGGGATATTTAACCTAATTAACAAATCAGAGTATTTCTTCCACCATTGCACCCAGATATTGCTTATCGGTTCCACAATATTATAAAAACAACATTAAGTCTCAGTAGAAACTGTATCATGATATAGCACATTATTGTAAAATCTCATATTGAATTCACAAATGAAATCATATTTCAGTTAGATGTGTTCCAGTGTTATGCATTACACCACAAAAGACCATCTTCACATAGAAAACAGAAAGTTATTGTTAGCAGTGCCCAGCTCTAGCTTCTAATCTCCTTCCTCTGCATTAAAGTGCCTGAAGGGTTTTGTAGCTTGTTGTGCGTTAGTGTGTTGCACAAGGTTGCACTGGTTGGTCGCTGGGATATTAAGGATCAACAAAGTGTCACAGTGCTGCACACTCGTTCACCAGGATGGAAGTAAAAGAGCCTGACACCCAGCAGACGAGGATTTTGACATTTTTGTGGGAAAGCATCTGTGCATGGCCTGATTCTAACATGTGTGTTACCACTAATCTCTCTAACCCCCCACTTCCTCACCCCTTCTGACCCTTCATCCCAAATCCCTCAACTCTCCCAACCTCTCATCCTGCTCACCACCCCTGTTGTTGTCACACTACTTCAATCCCCTGCATCACCCTGCGATCCTGCCGTCCATTCCTCACCCTCCCTTGTTCCCACCCTCCCTGCAGATGGCGAGCACGAGCTAACCCCAGATGACGGCTCCACTCTCTCTCAGTCTCTGTCTTTCACCCAGTCCCCGCAAAGCAGTCCTGCTAAAGAAGGTATCACACGCTTACCCAGAGAGAGTGAGAGACACTTTTCAGAATGACCTTCACTGTCTTTACTGTGTGTGTCTGAGATCAGATGCGTGTGCATGAGAGTGTAAGTTTAACTGAATGAGCTCAGTGTGCACTGCCTGAACTGCTGATCTGTGTGACATGTTTGTACTGCACTAATCATATTTCATTCACAGTGTAAATTAATGAATCTTCAACAGTTCATATTTAAAGTCCTTTGTTTAAATGTCTTGCTGTTGTTGGTTAGGAAAATGTCTTTACCCACCCAAAGTTTTGAAGCACTTACTTCTGTCACATTGTCTGTTCAAAGCGTCCATTTCTTTTTTATGAATTTAACGATATACAGATTCATTTTTTATTCCTTTTATTATAAGCACTGCTTTGAGATAGGTGTCCATCAACAGGGCAAAGCTCTTCTTTTGCTTATACTCCTTGTTGGTGAATTTAGCGACATCTAAGATCCAAACTTTTTTAATGCTAGAAAAGACCAAATTCAGGATTATTTCTAAACTACCATTATTTACTTAATTGTGCAAAGTTAGACAAGAAGATAATACCACTCTCATGTCTAGAACCAGCAGACATTAGCCTAGCTTAGCATAAAGACTGGAAGCAAAAATACGCTTTCTAGCGCTTATGTATAAAACTTACAGATTGATTGGTTCTATCATGTTGTTAAATTCTTACACAAACTGTTTTTCAAAGTGTTTTATGACAGCTTTCCTGTTTTTATGCTAAACTAAGCTAATACCTTCCTGGCTCCACCTCTGTCCTCAATGCTCAGACATCAGTCTCATCTAACCCTCAGAAAGAATATTTCTTCCAAAATGTTAAACTATGGTGGAATTTTACAAAGGTCTTGCAACTCTGTTTTCAGTGCTAAACAGTGAAATTGCCTGTGTTCATATTTACTAAGGAGTCTCCATGGGGCTTGTGCACCGGAGAAACAGAAAAAAAAACAAAAGCAGCATTGCAGGAATTTGCAAGCTTAATCACAGGCAGTGTGTTTTAAAACATTCCCCTTCAGGGATGCAAAATGAGGGAGGAGAGAAGGGAAATTTTACCCTCAGCCTCTGATCAACCACCGCTGTGACAGAGTGAACTGTGGCTGAAATTTACCGTCAGGAGAAAGCAGGCCAGGAGACTGTCGTTCAAAATTATGCTAACTTAAGTGTTCTGTACTCCCCTGTCAGTTCACACGTGCGCTAAAAAGGGACCAGGTTCTTATAAGTGGTCTGTATTCAAATGAACACTGCTGGCTGGCAAATATTCTGCTAAATCAAAAAATTGATGAGCCCCAATATTTTGCTACGTGATAGTAATTTACAAGTTTATTAAATATCTCCCATTGTCTTTAAAGGAATGCAGATTACAGATGCTGTGTTTGTTGTTTTGTTTTGGGCTAGCTAATTCTTAGATTTTCAGGTGTCCTTATACAGACCATTGAATAGTATTGTCAAAACAAGTTCACAACAATAAGAGCGCCTTTGCTTCTCTCTTGCCTTTGCT